TGAAAATGTACGTTTCACTTAAAACGAAGTCCTAAGTAAATTGTCAAGATCAAAGGCAATGTCTCTTTTTGACATGCAAAGAACCTTTAGAAGATTAGACTCTAAGACGGATTTTTCAAATGATTTTTCAAATCCGTCTTAGACATTCTAACACAGAATTTACGCAACACGACACGACACGTAGCAAGATTCTTAGAAAATCTTCACGTAGTCTGTAATATACTTACAGGTAAACAAGCGATGGTAAAACGTATTCTAGGTGCAAAGAGGATGAAGTTTTTTTTTATACCACGACGGTGGCAAAACCGTGGTACCGTGGCCTATGTACGCCTGCAACACTTGGGGCGTTACATGCGTCTTGCCGACTCATAAGAAACCTATTCACTCCCCTCTTGAAGAACCCCATGTTTTAGCCCACTGGAAAAACTACGGCAAGGAGTTCATTCCACAATCGAAGGGTCCGTGGGAAAAAATTCCTCTGAAACCGAACTGTGCGGGACCATTTGGGCTCCAAGTTGTTACGAATTCTTTTATCTTATTGCTGCTGTTATGTACATCAAAAAGGAATTTAATAGGTATTTTTTGTTAATGCACATACCTACTTATAGTCTATAGAGAGCCTATCTGCATGTACATGGAAAATAACTTTGCTATGTGCTAACAAAAATATTGTTATTGTGAAGGTATATTTCGGGTTACTGCAGCACAAATGGAATAGATTGGCATGTCAAATTAATTAGGTGCCATACCACAAAATACAATAGGGGTTTGTATTTCAGACAAAGCTGAACATTCTGCTGTAAGGATGAATTTACGCGAGCAGCTATGCATAGGAATGGGATATAAATTCATAGTAAAAGCAGTAGGAGTATTTATTATACATAGTTAGATTTAAGTTAAAACTTAATATTTGATCACACTACGATTTATATAAACAGATTATTTTATCAACATTGAATACGTAGTTCAAAACTTCCTACTCGAATGATCGTTATAACCCTTAGAGCGGGAAATCCAACATAATAAGAAATATCGAAATCTGATGTTCGGTGAAAATTTCGAAAGAAATAATTAAATAAAAACATTGTAACTCGAAAACGACGCAAAATCGAAGAACATACATGGGGATGCTTTGGATATTCCTCATAATAAAGTAGGTATCTAAATTTTATGGTTGAACGTCAACTGCCCGACCACCCTATATACATAAAATTATATAGGTACCTAACACTAGCTGACCCGAGGAACTTCGTACCGCCTAACAGTCAATTAATGACGTGTTACCTTTTAGCTCAACTAATTTAGGCTTTGATGAACGTAATACAATGATCCAATACAAATAATAATATGAACATAGATAGATATATAAAAGTATTTTATTATTATGAACAATACATACAAAAAGTGAATAAAAATTAAAATTAAGTAATTCAAACGCGTGTCAGATTTTTTTTATTAAATTAAAGTATGTTGTGTAGCATGTGATGCACTCGGATTAACTCTGTTCATTCAAGCACCTTGTGGTAAACGACATTATTTGTTTTTTAGTCAGGCGCAAGAACAAATAAAGCGAACACATGAACATTCCACGTACAAGTACAATTGAATTCGTTGAATTGAAAGAGCATATCCGTTGGGATCATCGGAATCCTTGGAATAAGAACTTCCTCGTCTTTCAAAACAAACAAATTTAATCTTTGCAAACAAATTTAAAAAGTTCAGATAGAACTTTCGAGACATAGACAATAGTTTAGTTAGATCATAGACTACTACTTTGGATAGTGCACTTTTTAACCTTTGTAATAAATATTTAAATAATCATAGACAACATAAAAATACATTTATGCTTTCGTTAACCTATATAAAATTAATTTTATAAATAAAGCCTAAACAGGAAAATAAATAATCTTCCCATATTGCCTAATTTTTAAAACTAATTTGCATCATACATTTGATAGAAGATTGACAGTTAAAACACGAAAGCGAGCTCCTGACAGGTATATTATATTTCTATTAGTTTAGATCATAGAGTATTACTAAATAGGTAGTGCAATATTTAACCTTTGTAATCATTAATCTTAGAAAAAAGACTTCTCGTTTTCAGAAATACAATAGTTTAGAACATAGACTACTAATAAATGTATTAACGCACGCGTAAATGTTATCATATTTCTGAATGCATGTCAAGTCCAAGATCCCAGTGCCATGTCAAGTCCAAGACACCAAAACCACGATGTAAAACTAAACCCATTTTCTTTTTTAAGTGACTGTTCTTTGAATATTGTTATGTTTCTTAGTAAATGGGACCTCATTTACTCCATAAGCACTATTTGAGTTCATTTGTTACACTTTTACCCTCTTATTAATATTTTTTTTGCATAAGCCGGTAAACGAGCAGACGGATCACCTGATGGTAAGCAATCGGCGTCGCCCATGGACACCTGGAACACCAGAGGCGTTACAAGTGCGTTACCGGCTTTTTGGGTATTAGGAGTTTGAGGATCGTTGGTGATTCAGGGATTGGGGAGACTGGGGAAGAGAAGGGTAATCGGGCCTCCGGTAATCTCACTCACACAACGAAAGCGTTGCTTCACATCGGTTTTCTGTGAAGCCGTGGTATCTCTCCGGTTGAGCCGGTCCATTCGTGCCGAAGCATGGCTCTCTCACACTTAAAATTAATAAACATAGATTAGAGTAAGAATAACTTTACTCCATGGTTTAGGCTCAGAATAGTCAAATTCGGTAATAATAAACAAGGAGGAACGTCAGACTAAGCTATTCCAACGTTAGTCTGAGAGTAAAAGTTAGTCTATGGTGCCACATGGTTTAGCGACGGTGTAAGCTTGGATTAGTAGTATCAACCGAGTTACCATCGAGTTTCCAATATGGTTTTGATGACCAGTATCGAGTGGTGTACGGCATTATCAGATAAAACCTATTTTATTATAACCTATTTCCTTGCGTTGCGTCATTATTACGTATATAGGTATGAGACTAGCAATACCTCACGACTTCGTCCGCGTATTACCTCTATAATGCCTTCTGGCAGAATGTGAGTTTTTGAATAAGTCTTTTCCAAGGATAATTCTAATGCGATTAACAAATCGGTACCTAAGTTGTATTTATTGTAAAATGAATTCTTTTTCGTGATATCAAAAAATAAGTATTTCCACATAGGTTTTATCCGTATAGTGTACATTCGCGTGAGATATCAGTGATAAAAATTATTCAATGTCCTTTTCCGGGTTGCGAACCACTGTGTACCGATTTTCAATAAAATAGGTTCAGTGGTATAAACGATAGAGAGTCCCGGAATATTAACGCATAGGTCCTTTCCCGTGAGATTTCCGGGATAGAACTATTATCTTTCTTATTTATAATATTAGTGCAGATTATGAGTTACTAGCTTTTGTTAACGGTTTCGCTCGCGCTCTTTTATCGAGTTGGGGGAAGATTTGCATACAAATGTAGCCACGAAGTTTTCTGTTAGTCACAAATAGTCAAAATACCAATAGTAATCTTTCTAACTTGATGATTGTGAAACGCTTTATATAAACCCACCATTTTAGGGAAGTGGGGGCTAGAAAGAGACAGAAAGTAGGTAGCCCATCTCACTTTCTATCCATTCAAATACTCATCTCAACTTAAAAACACCGAGAAACACGTCAATTCGCTTTGTTTTGTCGCGAAAGACTGACAAATAAACAAACAGACACATCTCTCTTGTATTTTAAAAAATAACTTCTCATTTATAATATTAGTATGGAATAAAAAGCCTACGTGTTATTTTAGAGTTCTAGACCATAATCGAGTCGCGGAGAACCTAACGGGCAACCGGGGCTCCGGCTCGACGTGCAGGAGAAGGAACGGGGTGGTTTTTAGTCAGTAAGAGTCTGACACTCCCTTCCGCCTCACCCAGGCTGGAGCAGTCATTCGAGGATTTTCCCCCTTAAAAAAAGAAGACCATAATCGACCCCTGTTTCAATTTTTATATCGATCCCTTCAGTCGTTTTGATGTGAAGAAGTCACAAACATACAAACTTTCGTATTTATAATATAAGGGACGTGAAGAACAAGAGAAATCAAAATACCGATTTACTGCAGTTTTTATTATTGACATGCTAAAAAATAGTCTCGCTGGTTACGCAAGAAGTGGCTTTATACCACCCTATTTGAAAGTACTGAGTGCAATCGGAAAATAGGTCCGTAGAGAGGTAAATATCAATCCAAGTGGCCTGTTGTATGAGCTTCTTGTTTTCGAGCATTGATCTTCATGGCTTTCTAATGAATTTTCAGCTGACTTAACTCACGTCTGCTATTCAACTCGTTAAATCTAAAAAACAAATAAAATGAATGTAAATATGATAAAATGTAGCTATGTTTAGCCAAATAATTGTACAGCATGATGTGATTCAGATACTATGGGTTAACATAATATACACTGCCCACATATTAAGCTTCATGCTTGACCTTATTATCTCTGAACAAATCATTTTGGTTTGAACAAATAGAATAAAATAAAATTGCTGAAATATTTCCTCCCACTCTTTCATCTTAATTGTTTAATTAACAGGCATCGGGAGTATTTACCTTTTGTTCTTTGCGCCAGTTAATAGCGCGGCTGTGCTTTTCGCTTGTTTTTCGTTATTCATATATTAAATTCTATTTATTATAAGAAATTAATAATATTTCGACGAATGTTTTTAAACAAAACTGACAGCGACAGCATTTTGTCAAGATGTCAAGCTAACATACATCTACCCCTATACTTATTATACTCTTTGCATACATCTGTCAATAAAGCAGTGATTTCATAGGTTTCATAGGATTTCATACCTCCTTCTCAGTCTTTTTACTTTTAAAATTTCTGGGTTACCATCATAAACGGATTAAACCTAGTGTAAGGATGGTATTGTTATTCCGAGGTTATTCCATGTTTATTAATAGGAATTCAATTCTGAAGTTAATACTTTGTTAGTCCGGAATTAGCTAGTCCAAGACTAACCTGTGAATAAGTTTGGGATAAGAAATTTTTATTAATAAGACCGTTAATGTGGTGGGTGACCATTACTTACCGGTAGCCCTTTCCAACAGACTTTAAGCTTGTTTAGGGATTCCTGTCGATTGTTTATTTGACTTTAAGTCTATATTAGGCTTATTTTTAGTTCACCCGTAATTATTCGATAGTTTGAAGACTGGGTCTTATTTCAGGACACGGCAAAACTCTAATATTGGTACCAGTAAGAGCTTTTTTGTCGAATTGGTTGTTTTTTTTTTATGGCATAAGCCGGTAAACGAGCAGACGGATCACCTGATGGTAAGCAATCGGCGTGGCCCATGGACACCTGGAACACTAGAGGCGTTACAAGTGCGTTACCGGCCTTTGGGGGATTAGGAGTTTGAGGATCGATGGGGATTCAGGGATTGGGGAGATTGGGGAAGGGAAGGGTAATTGGGCCTCCGGTAACCACACTCACACGACGAAATACAATGCAAGCGATGCTTTACGTCGGTTTTCTGTGAGGCTGTAGTATCTCCGGTCGAGCCGGCTCATTTGTGCCGAAGCATGGCTCTCCCACACTTAAACTAAACTAAACTTTTACAACCGAGAATTAGTTTACATTAACACCAAATCATCATTAACTTTTTATGGATATGAAATGCCATAAGGTTGAGTTACTCTCTCAATGTAACTCCCAGCTGGTACATAATTCTTATTCAGAATTGTCGGTTCTCTTTACCCTACTAAGCAAATTCCACTTAAGACCATAACATTGCAACATAGGAAAAGGTTGATTCCATAAATGCAAGTCCATTGAAAATCAACCATAGCATTCACAATTAACTCACATGTCAAACACAACTCTCACAACAAGCAACATTCAACGATTACTCTTACAGTCACACCATGAACACAAGACATAAAATTTCTTCATATCACGTTTTTTCAACCTCTTCACTATTTCTGCTTACCTATTTAAATTAAACTCTTAATGTTTTATCTGGAACATTACAAATTACTTATGAACATGATAACTACATAATCAAATGCCTTATTTTAGTAATCAATACCTCATGAGTTATTTCGAGACAAATATACCAAATTTTCTTTGGTGGGCCCTATTTTGTTTTGGCGAGTTTATTTAACCTAACCAACTAAATTAAGAAGGTTCGTTTCGAGTTTTGAAATGATTGAATCGGTTTAGTTATATTTTTTGATGGAAAGGGTGCAATAACCCACATCTACCGAAACTATCGGGACGATTTGAAAAATTCTTTAACTGTTGGAATCCTACACTATCGATGATGAACACAGGCTATATTTATTTAATAAAACAGAAAAAAAGGAATCTTGTGAACATTTTGATAATGTAATCCGATGTGTGAAAATACTACCAAAAAGTGCCGTATATTGCTTAAGGCTTTGACTGCTAATAGAAAACCGTTTACAAGGATTAATAACAGTATTTAGCCGCATCAGATTCAGATATTTTAAAGAAAAAATATGCATTCAATTAACTGAATACATTTTATTCGTGGACTAGCTTCTACCCACTGTTTTGCTGGTCACAAAAATCTGATACCAATTTTAGGTTTCTTGAAAATTACGGAATGCTCCATACAAACTTCCATCTCCTGTTTAAGGGAAGTGGTGGGTTGATATATGAGAGAATACACAAGTTTTGTCTCATTGAGATAATATACAAGTTTTGTCTCATATAGCAATATTGAGACAATACACAAGTATCTACTTAGGACGATTTCACGAATATTGTTCATATACTTAGACTGAAATACTGAGTAGGTACCTTCATGAGATTAAGGCACATTATTCTTTATCACTAAAGTATATCCAAATTGAATCATATCAGATGAAAAGAAATACTTATTATAATAAAAAAATTATGCTTCGTAATCGTGAGTAAATTGAAATGCTATCAGGTACTACAAAATTGCTCACAAGTAGTACAAATGTACAGGTCTCATTATTTTCTGATAAAATTATTGAGTCAGTAATACTGCTTGTATTGGTGACTCAATAACTTTATACCTACCAAGGTTTTACCCAGATTGTTGATTAATTGTAAATATAGATTAGGCATTACTTTGGACAAAGGATACCAGTAATTTCTCTAGTTCTCTCGCGTATCTTTTAGTTTCATCATCAGATCGACACCAGACCTATGTCAAATTGTATTGGTTTAAAATACCTATTGAAAATATTAACAATTGCACTAATTGTCCCTATAAGTTTTAAAAGTTCCCCTCGGTTACCCTGGGATCCCGTCATCAGATCCTGACTTGGTGACAATGGTGAAGCGACCTGAGGCTGGTTCTCTGATCGCTTCTTGTCATTTTCCACTTCCAGAAACCGTTATTTCACTAGTGCTTTTATGTAGGTATACAAATTAAAGCGGAAGGCATAAATTAAAATTATTTATTTTCCTGTTATAATATTTACTTACCACTATTTATTTACAAATTATTCAATAATAAAGCAACAAACAATAATATTGAACGTGAAGCGTGCACAAGCTGAAGCGAAAGCGAAGTGTGTCAAAGCCACGTCATGGTCTACCATTTATAGTAGAAGTAGCCATGTTAGAAGAAGGCGTTACTTGCGCACGAAGGATTCAACGACTATCTTGAAAATAGGCGGGGCTGCGCATCATACGACGCCGTCTGATATCACGCCACGTGTGACGTAGTAGTGGCGTGATTTTTCGAGGTGCTACTGCTCATCAGCTGCAGCGCTTTAAGTAGCGGATATGGTCGCTACAATACTCCCCCGCTGAGACCGTTACCACGGTCGATAATAGTCAGGAAACTTAACTACTCGTCCACTTCTCGTTTTCGTAACTGTTGGTTCTTGTTCTTCTTGCTGACGATTAGGAGGCGAGGGTTCTTCCTGAGCAACGTATGCGGATTTTATGCGGTCTATGGTGATTGTCTGCGTCTTGCCCGCTATGTCGACATCAAATGTCTTGGGACCACGTCGTATAACTTTGTACAGTCCCATGTAAGCTGCCTGCAAGGGTCTCCGTGCTGGACCCTGGCGAACGAAGACGTGTGTTGTCGTCTCCAAGTCCTTAGGCACATAAAATGGCTTGCTTGAGCTGGTATGCCACGTCGTTGGTTGAGGTGCCAATTTGCTCATGTAGAGCCGAAGTCTGCTGACCAGGTTGCTCGGTTCCACAGTGGTGTCGCAGCGTGCTGAGAAGAGAGAATAGGGATGACCCTATTCGATCAAACTTTCGGAACAAAGCAGCTCATGGTAAATCAAACATACTAAAAAAATAAATGGTTGACTTGTCAGGAACTATATTGTAACTATAGTACAGTGGGTCATTAAAGGCCCATTAATATAGTATTTATTGAAACAATGTGTAATTTTTGTCCATGAACATAAGCAAATAATGGTTTAATCCACCTAACCCATTACTAATAACTTTCGTCTAGAACTCATACAATAAACAATAACAATACCGTCGATAAAACTTACGATGAAGTCATTAATATCGTATTTATTTATTCTTTTATCGGTACTTACTACCCATATCAGTAATTACACTTTATGCCTAGTATTTGACGGTATGAAACATTACTTCCTAAATAATTTAATGCGTAAATAAGGGCGTAGTAAATGGTTCTGTGTATCTAAACACTATTTAAACTCCAAAACTGTTTATTCACCGCTCAAAAATTGGTATCAAGGTTTCCTACGAAAATTAATTTTCGTCCAATCGTTTCGTAAGCCTGAAATGCGTAATACAAACATGATTACTATAAGTTATTGTAGACATGATTACACACGTGACACATGAACGTAGACACGTTTTATTTTATTTCGAGTATTATCTTGCTTGAGGTGCAGGCATGATTAGCGGATGCGCAGCAGATTTCGGCCGGGGCGCAGTACGTCCACTAATGTACTTAATTCATGGCGCGCGTGGTGCCGGTAGTTAAAAAGGCATTCGATACTGTTGATAACGACATACTGCTGAGTAAACTGGCAGAGGTGGGGTTTACTAAACTTCTTCGTCAGTTATAATTATGAAGAACAGGCAGTAGTATGCTGATTATAGGGGTTGCGATTCTGAACCATATCTAGCAAGGTCTGAAGTAAGTCTGGGGCCATTAGAATACATTATAATGCTCAATGATCCACTAGAGGTAGTCAAGCATGCAGTTTGTTTGTTTTTTGCCGATGACCTTAAATTGCTACTTGAAATTGAAAATGGTGCGGATTCTAAGCTACTTCAATGAGACATATAAATAGTAGTAGAATGGAGCCAAAATAATAAGCTGCATTTTAATGTTCAAATGTTCCACGATGACGTCCACTCGTGCAAAAACACCAGCGCACTACGAGTACACCGTGGAGTACAGACTATGGTACAGACCAATGAAGTGGGCTGCTCGAGTACTGGATCTCGGAGTTATAATGACACCAGATTTATCCTTTCGGAAGAATATTATAGAAGTGTGTATAGGAACTTGGGATTTGTACTGAGGCAGACACAGGGATGATGCTTTAGTCAAAAGTCACCTTGAACATAGTGCAGTAATCTAGACTCCACATGAAACGAGGTACAATGTCATGTTAGAGCCAATTCAGAACAAGTTCACAAGGCACTTGTACTTCAAACTGTACGGCGTGTACCCTTTTTACCCTTTAATGTACCCAACATTGTTTGTACTGGGCATGGTGGAGTATCACGAGCTGAGAGTGCGCAAAGAATTTACGTTAGCTAACTGCTTACGTTGTGAAGTTATTACGAGGCGTGGCACCACAGAAATATTAAAAAAGGAGAAGTGGCAAGGGGGCGTGTCGGTTACGCTCGCACTTGAGCGTTCGGCTCAATGTAGGAAAATATAGCCGTCATCGCGAGTTAGTCTGTTGTCACCCGCGATCGTACAACAAACGATAAAATACCGACTTGTGCAGTGGTTTCGTGCAGAGATATAAGCCAAAACAAAAACTGTAGAATTCATGGCATCGGTTACCATGTGTAAGAACAAATATTTACAGTATTTATCTTAAAAATCACGAAAAACAACAAGTTATTACTATATTTTTATTTTTCTATATGACTCCGACTGTATTGTGTCTACATTAGAGGTAATACATTACTCTTTTACAACCATCTTAGTGTGACACTGAGTAACTAAACCAGCAATGTAAAAACTTCATTAATTAACCAAAAATGCGATACCTCCTTATCCAAATTTTATCATTATAACTACATACAACTTGTCGTTTTATTTCTAATTATTTTTTACATAAAATATTTTTTAATAACTAAATTATATTTTGTTGGTTTCATGTCGTTTTTACTTTCCAAAAGTTTTGTAATAAATTTATCGATATATTCATCGGGAGCTATCGATATCGTCAAGTCAATACGGCGACGCTCCTAACAGTTAACACACAGTGACAAATTGTTTTAGTGTGAGTAAATCATAGGAGAATGTGTGCTGTCGTTTAAAGAATAAGGCTTATATTTGAATTACTGAGTTATCGATGCCGCGTGTGTGCACTTTTTCGTAGTATTGTTTTGTCAGAGCTGTGTGTGTAATATTAGTTTTATGGAGGGGCAGTTGTGGCTTCACGGGTTTGCATACATTTTTGACTCCACACCATATCTCCTTCTTTATTATATCTGTGTATGGCACATAACCCGGGAGTGCTGCGCCACCTGCAGCTGTGTGTGCCCGACCGATACGTGTGGAGGCGATACCGTCCGCCACTGCTGTGACCAGGACCAATCTTCTGGCCAAGACCGCGGTCACACGAGCCATTTGCAAATGAGGTTCATAGCCGCATTGACATATTTTCGTGCAATACGAGTGATCTAGTGAGAGTATTATTACGTTGCAATACAATTTCCGATCTCAAAATTGTTTACTATATTCTTTGTTTTGTTATTTGTGATAGTTTATTTTAGTAACTAGGTACTTAATAGCTGTTAAGTAAAATATGTTTTTTATGATTAGATTGATACTCAGTAGTTAGAAATGTTAACCAGGTAGGTATGTATCAGTGTTAAGTTTAAATTTTCTTACAATTAGGTAATTACTAAAAGATGTGGTAAGGCTACACTATCGTATATACATAAATAAATCTTTTCTGGATCTGATATCAGTTTTGATTACAATTTCACGTATTTTAATTAACTTTATCATTAATGTACAAATTCTGTTAGTAGTTAAGCTGTTTTAGGAACATGGTAATCTGAGTGGACTTCTATTTAAAATATTAGATACTCGAAAATTGTTTACAACTAAAATTAGCAGAGTCGTCGAAGATTACGCAAACAGTCTTCTAATTTAAAAATTGAAATGGGTAGTATCTAATAAAAGCTCCGACAAAAAAAGAAGAATCTTCCTTACTGAAAATATTAAATCTACTGCCTAAAATAGTAACTTTCCGATTACTTTACATGACTGTTTACTACAATACTAACCTAACCTAACCTAAAACGTCTGTTGTCGGTAACTTAGGTTCAATATTCTATTCAGAAGTTTAGTTTTGTTATTCGAAGATCCATTTTTATAGTCGGCCACAGATCGCTTTGATTTGTTTTTCGGAACCATTATTATTTTCCAATTGAAATAGACTGCCTCATTGGCCGAGTGGTCGCAACTGTGACTGCCGGGCATGGGGTGTCAGGTTCGATTTCCGGGTCAGGCAAAGTATTACAGGGTTTTTCAAAAAATTCACAGTAGTAACACGGAGTCTGGAATTGTGCCCGGTACTTATATGGCAATACGCTCACCCCCTATTACATGGGACTCATAACATAAATAGTGAAAAGTGGGTGTTACATTGTAGAGTGGCATAATGTACTATGTGCCTACCCCTTTGGGGATAAAAGGCGTGATGTTATGTTATGTAATGTAAAATTGAAATGTTTAGACTTAGTGGACTGTTTTGGAATTTTAACCAGATGGCAGAATTTTGTCTAGAACGACTGACACTTAACCGCTAAGTCAGTTGCTATTGCTACATTTTTTTTGCGCCTATGTCCTAGACATTTGTAAAACCTGGACTGACATTCCTATCCAATCTTTCTTAGAAAAAACGGCGCAATCTTGTCGTTTACCATTCTCGGATAATCACATGTTGTTCGACGATGCTTCAATAAGGTGCTAAAATGCTTAAATAAAAGGCGAAAATTCAAGAATGTACCTATTCATCGATATGCAGAATGTTATTCATATTTGTAGAACTGAAAAGTGGAAACCAAAAGTATTGATTACCTCTCCACTGTATAAATAGTACATATACACGTGTATGGGCGCAACAACTCGCAGCTATTATGTGTTCCAAGCTAGCTTTTGTGCAAGTGGCTTCTATCATGCATCGTCTGAGCCTGTGTTATCTCAGACTTTAATCTTTATGCATTGAAATCTTTATGCCAAGTTTCATGAAGAACGATTAAGCAGTTTTTGCATGAAATAGTAATAAACATCCATAGATTCTTACATACTTCCGTAATAATAAATACCTACTTCTATTTACTGGACCTCAACAGTTAATATTAAACTTCTAGATAAAACGAAATGGAATCACTGTCTTGTTAATCGAAACCATATACATGTACTTAAGTAAGTAATAAGCTTGCAGTAAGTATCACTCTGGTTTGATTTTGAAGTTTACTCAGACTACTCAGACTAGGGACCAATATTACTAAGGAAGTAAATATGTTTCTTTTAATAATGAATACCTACGAGTTTACGTCCACGTGCATACGTAATTGGGAGAATTTAGTATGGTTGGATTCTTTAGCTAATTTACTAAATGAGGAAATGTCGGTTCCTATAACAATTTTGCTATATCAATATTATTATATTCCTTACAGTATTAACATAAATAATACATCAAGGAAATACGTAATAATATGTTATTATGTCAAATAACTGAGAATTTATATAACTTGTTACCAACGGGTCACAAATTTTCCTTAATTTACATTTTTTACGATAAAAAATAAGCTAGGTACTTTCATGATAATTTTAAAAATAATATGTTGTTCAACTAAGTACCTACGTTGTGTAGACAAAGTGTAATAGGTATTATATACGGTTAAGTACTTATATAAATGTTAAACTTTACTTTTCCAAAATAAAACCCTGATTTTGTTTTGAATTTAACGATAGAGCAGTTTGGGCCTAATAACTGATCCCTGAATCATTTTAAAATCCTCTCCAATACCTGTCATCAAAAATTTTATCAATTTCAATTACATCTTTGGTACTAAATCTTGAGTTTCAGTATCCAAGTACACCAAGCCACCACTTTTCGACCCATGCCATTAGGGAATTACTCTACCAATCACGTGTGTACAAATATTTTACTTCTAACAAGCAGCCAAATCGATAAAATAGACACCCAACTCAAAACCCACAATGTATACATTGAGTCTGATTGATCAATTACACTGACAGATACAGCTAGACCTTCTTTTCGTACTTGACCTTACACAAAATAGGGGTCAAGACTGTCTGGACATTCAACACATTGTTTTTTACTAATTGCTGATTTGTAACAGTA